GTTCCCACTCCTACCCTCAGCCCTAGGCAGCTACTCATCTGCTTTCTTCCTTAATAGATTTGCTTTTTGTGGGCATTTCAAATAAATGGAATAATACAATATGTAGTCTCTTACATCTGCCTTCCTTTACCTGGCATAGTAGTGTTTTTGAGATTCATCCATGTTGTAGCATATATCAGTAGTAATTCCTTTTTATTGCTGTATGGACATGCCACATTATTTTTCTCCATTCACCAGTAAATGGATGTTTTGATTGTTTCCAGTTTTGACTATTAAGAATATTTCTGGTTGGGCTTGGTGGCTCAGCCTGTAATCCCAGTACTTTGGGAGGCTGAGGTGGGTGGATTGCCTGAGTCCGTGGGTTCAAGACCAGCCTGGGCAACTTGGCGAGACCTCATCTCCACAACAAAAAAAATTAGCCAGACATTGTAGCCAGGTGTGGTAGCATGTGCCTGTAGTTCCAGCTACTTGGAAGCTGAGGTGGAAGGATCGCCAGAGCCCAGCAGGTCAATGCTGGGGTGGCCGTGAGCATGCCACTGCACTCCAGCCTGGGCAATGGAGTAAGACTATAACAAAAAAAACAACAAAAAAATTCAGCATCACACACACACACACACACACAAAGAGCCAATCTTCTTTGGGAGCCACTTCAGGTTAGGTTTAAGCAGTCAAGGTAAAGAGTGTGCCACCACGAAGGATGCCATCCTACCTCTCCCCTCCTCACTTGAGCTCAGTGCCAATGGTGCTGCATTGGCACTAGACTAGTCTAAATTCAATCTACTTCTAAAATTACGGGAAAAAAGATAAGGTTTGTAAAAGGAAACACAAATACTGATAGGGCAGTGCTTCATAATAAAAGTGGGAATATCATAGGTCAGTAATGCAAGGTGACTATAAATTGTTTGTATAAAGGGACATATAAGATCTCTGCCACAGATCCATCTGTTTTGTTTTTATATCTCTTTATAAAAAAGCAGGCAGAGCCTGGCTCGGTGGCTCAGCTGTAATCCCAGCACTTTGGGAGGCTGAGGTGAGTGGACTGCCTGAACCCACGGGTTCAAGACGCGCCTGGGCAACTTGGCGAGACCTCATCTCTACAATAAATCAAAAAATTAGCCGGGCGTGGTAGCACGCGCCTGTAGTTCCAGCTACTTGGAAGGCTGAGGCGAAAGGATTGCCGGAGCCCAGCAGGTCGAGGCTGCAGTGACTGGGAGCAGCCACTGCACTCCAGTCTGGGTGACAGAGTGAGACTCCAACTCAAAAAAAAAAAAAAAAAGTAGGCAGTTTGCTAATCCTTTAGTTAAGGTATTAATGCTCCATTAAAGTGGTGAGCAACAAATGAAGAATTCTACCAGCACTTCACACTCATGTGGCCAAGAGAAAAAAAAAATGTATCTTTGGTTTTGAAGAATTCACCACAAATCCATCAGCAGAGAAAATCTGAAGAGAGACGGATAAGCAAATCAGCCCCAAGCTCTCCAGACTCAGTGGTGCTCAGCCCCAACGACATGGGCTGAGCACCACTGAGTCCCTCAGGAACAACTAATAGCCAAGCACAAGTTTAGACTGCAAAGGTGGTCCTTTATTTTATTTTTTTTTTAAAGTAGGTCCAGGCCAGGTGCAGTGACTCACACCTGCAATCCCAGCACTCTGGGAGGTCAAGGTGGGAGGACTGCTTGAGCCCCAGGAGTTCGAGACCAGCTAAAGCAAGACAGTGAGACTTGTCTCTACAACAAATAAAAAAATTAGCCGGGCGTAGTGGCATCTACCTGTAGTCCCAGCTACTCAAGAGGTTGAGGCAGAAGGGTCACCTGAACTCAGGAGGTTGAGACTTTGGTGAGTCTGGATCATGCCACTGCACTCCAGTCTGGGCAATAAAGTGAGACCCTGACACACACACACACACACACACACACACACACACACACACACACACACACACACGGAGGTCCAGCTCATAAAGAGCCTCTTTTCAGCCAAAAAAGCTGCACCAGCCCAACAGGAAGAACCTGTGAGAAACAGGGTGAGGTCCCCCATATCCTCGGCTTCCACACTGGCAACCCTGGAGCCAGTCAAGTGTGTGAAATGACAGACTCACTAGCAAAGTTCATCTGCAATTCAATATCTCTGTCATTTAGTCACTGTACAAATAACTTTTTTTAAAAGACAGTTACACTCATTTTGGTCTACAGCCTGAACATCCTCCATTTGCCAATGTGTGTATTACAAGAATGAGATTTTAGTGTCATAGAATTAGCAGTAAAATTAGGATAAAGCATTAAAATTATATCTTTTTGGATCCAGGGTTCCACACAAAAGAAAACAACACTTAACACTGTTATAGGTGAAGCAATTAATATGAACATTGAGAAAGAAAGAAAAAAAAGAGGAGCATCCCCACCATCCAGAAGCTGGCCAGGCACTCAAGGCAGGCCATGGTGCTCTCCTGCTGGATATAAACCATTTCAGAGCACTAGCCTCAAGCAAGGGCCCTGAGACCATAATAAAGTGAGGCTGAGCAAGGCTGCTTCAGAATTTTATCTAAGCACAGGAAAAACAAGTATACTGTGCAACCCACAAAATACTAACAACCCTCTCTCTTAGCTAAAATGAGTGACTGCTTCTTCTTTACCAATTACAGTTTATCCTTGTCTTCCCCCAATACAGATAAACCTTATTGATACCCAATTTTAAAAAATTACCTCTTTCTGACAGCATCCAATATGCAGCAAACCCCTGCCTCCTCAGACCAGTCCCCAAATTATTAAACTAAACCCAAATCCTATAAAAGTTTCTAACAATCTCTCACAGAGACACTCCACAGTTTCCACACAGTATGTGTTCTGTCTCACTGCAACAAATAATAAACCCACCTTGTTCAACTGCAGGTGTATTCTTGGTGGTCTTTGGCTGGAGGGTTTTAATATTTAAATATTGTGTTCTCTCTACTCCCTTAACACCTGCCAACATACACACACCTCTGTCCCAGGAGATCCAAACTACACGTTGTTAAAGAGAACTGTTCCAGAGAACCAGGAAGACTAAAATGCAGGTCATTTCTGATACTTGCCGAACAGCAAATAACATGCTAGACAGGGTTTCTCAAAAGTAATGCAACAATATAAAATATAGAAAAAGTAACACCACAAAGTAAGCATTTCATAAAACACAGCCAAGGGGTAAGTGACAAAGTAAGAGAAATACAAAAGAACCATTAAAAATTCATAAATTATTCTTAGTTCAAAAACTGAATAATAATTTCTTCAATTAAAATTGAAGGTTTTCGGCTGGGCTCGGTGGCTCAGCCTGTAATCCCAGCGCTTTGGGAGGCCAAGGTGAGTGAATTGCCTGAGCCTGCGGTTCAAGACCCGCCTGGGCAACTTGGTGAGACCTCATCTCTACAATAAATCAAAAAATTAGCCAGGCGTCGCAGCGTGCACCTATAGTTCCGGCTACTTGGAAGGCTGAGGCGGAAGGATCACCAGAGCCCAGCAGGTCGAGGTTGCAGTGGCCGGGAACGGCCATTGCCCTCCAGTCTGGGCGACAGAGTGACACTCTGACTCAAAAAAAAAAGAGAAAGTTTTCATTGCTTATATTCCATGTTTAAAAAAATATTCTGATCAGATTACAAGGGAAGAGGGAGAGTTGGTAGCTGAATAAATTTGAATAAATTCAAATAATAGAATTTCAGCTATTCATCTTTAATTAGGAAGATCTTAAATTCCAGAAGTCCTTCTACCTACTGAAATGACAAAGTAGACCCTATTTCTATAGCAAAATAGAAGCCTAGGAAAATCTAATACTTGGCATTCACAAATTTTAGGTCCAGAAACAGTTATCACTTAAAAAAAATTTTTTTTTTTTTTTTGGAAATATGGTATCTTGCTATGTTGCCCAGGCTGGTCTCAAACTCCTGGCCTCAAGCAATCCTCCTGCCTTGTCTTCCCAAGATGCTGGGAGTACAGGTGTGGGTATAATTCTATTAATTATCAACTCTTCTGTCATTGATGAGTTTCACAAAAGGAAAAACTGGGCTTTTGTCCTAGGATGACTAGAGCACCACCGCAGCAGGCCCTCGGGCCAGGGTGTCACATAGCCCTCCTGGGGGAACATGTACAGTGCTGTCATGTGTTCTCAAACCCATGAGGACAAAGTCCTGGGCATTTGATTCCTCTTGGTTGTCTAGCACTGACTGATGTTACCAAGAAGCTCTAGTGAGCCGGGCTAGGTGGCTCAGCCTGTAATCTCGCGCTTTGGGAGGCTGAAGTGAGTGGATTGCCTGAGCCCGCGGGTTCAAGACCCACCTGGGCAATTTGGCGAGACCTCATCTCTACAATAAATCAAAAAATTAGCCGGGCGTGGTGGTGCGCGTCTATAGTTCCAGCTACTTGGAAGGCTGAGGCGGAAGGATCACCAGAGCCCAGCAGGTCGAGGCTGTGGTGGCCGGGAGCGGCCACTGCACTCCAGTCTGGGCGACAGAGTGAGATTCCAACTCAAAAAAAAAAAAAAAAAAAACTCTAGTGCTCAGGGGCCTCATCAGGTCACATTAAACATAGCTTTTGCCAGGCTCGGTGGCTCAGTTTGTAATCTCGTGCTTTGGGAGGCTGAGGTGAGTGGATTGCCTGAGCCCGCGGGTTCGAGACCCGCCTGGGCAACTTGGTGAGACCTCATCTCTACAATAAATAAAAAAATTAGCCGGGCATGGTAGCGCGTGCCTGTAGTTCCAGCTACTTGGAAGGCTGAGGTGGAAGAATCACCAGAGACCAGCAGGTCGAGGCTGCAGTGACCGGGAGTGGCCACTGCACTCCAGTCTGGGCTACAGAGTGAGACTCCTACTCAAAAACAAAAAACAATACACAGCTTTTGCTAAAACTTTTGAAATTAAGCTAATACTATTGATTATACTTTGCTATATATTTACTGACACTTGCCCAATATTCAAAGTAACAAAGCAGTTAAAGTGAGATAAAATTCCTTTCTAACAATTCCATTGGGTTTACCTTTCAGAGCTATCACCTTAGAAGCTGGATTCATGATGGCATTCTCTGCAGAGATAGGCCGTCTGATAGGTGCCATTGGGTCGCTCATGTCAATGATCACGACCTGTGCCTGCTCACCAATTTTCTCTCGGACACATATGAACTTGTCAGATTCCATGGTCAGAGTGCTGAATCCAATGTTGGCTGGATTAATTCCAATGTTTTGGAGCTAAACAGAAAATAAATATTTAATTAAATTAAGTCTTTCCTCTGAAATGGATCAGCTGTAGCCATTAGCAAAGTCTAACAGGAGGAGGGAAAGTTAAACAAGAGTTTTGAAAATAGTTAACATTAGGCAAACATTTGATGCAAAAGTTGGTTTGCCTTTCTATGCCTTTAATAGGTCCCACCAGTGGATTAACAGAAAACTCTCAAGGGCTTACAAACTCATAGGGGAGGTAAGACATATTCAAGAATAAGTATGACACCTGGGTGTATGAAACATGCCACAAGTGACACAGACAGGAGATGAGTTGAGTTGGCAGGAGTCCCCAAAAGAATACCATCAGAGTAGATGTCACAGGTAAGCCCACCATTGAGGAGAGCTTCAAGAGGAAGGATGCCTTGAGGAGGTGAAGGTAGGGGAAGGGAAAAGGGAGAAAACACAAAAACTGGTTTCTCCAAAAGGCAAGCAAGAACAAAGAACTAGCCAAGTGTTTTTGCTTAAACATTTTATTTTTCTCTGGTTTAAATATATTTCTAAGTCAGTGTGAATACTTCTTGGTGAATCTTGTGTAAGAAAGTTAGTAGGTTTGGCACATCTTCCAGTGTAGATGAACTGCTTTTACTGTGTAAATTGAAATCAGGTGCCTTTCTCCAAAGGCAACATAATATGCAGTGCTTGGACTAAATAAAGACCTGTTAACTGTTAATGGGATAAGCTTTTAATACAAAAAAACCCCAAAAACCCTAGGAAAACACACATTCAAGAAATGTATATCACTCCAATAAAGAACCATGATTAGTTCGATAAATTCCCCTGCTCCCACTTACCTATTAGGTACCTTTATTTTTAAACATTGTTCTGTTCAACCTCAACCCCACTGCTATTGATTTGATTCTTTAATATCTGTTATCTTATGTAACCTTGAATAGACTCATGCTAGCAACAAAGATCACAGACTATTGCTTAAAAATCACCACCACTGGCCAGGCATGGTCACTCAAGCCTGTAATCCCAGCACTTTGGGAGGCCAAGGTAAGAGGATTGCCTGAGCCCACAGGTTCAAGAACAGCCTGGGCAACTTGGTAAAACCTCATCTCTACAATAAATCAAAACATTAGCCTGGCGTGGTAGCATGTGCCTGTAGTTCTGGCTACTTAGAAGGCTGAGGCGTTAGAGACCCGCCTGGGCACCTTGGTGAGACCTCATCTCTACAATAAATCAAAAATTAGCCGGGCGTGGTAGCACACGCCTGTAGTTCCAGCTACTTGGAATGCTGACGTGGAAGGATCGCCGGA